CATGACATAACATCAAAAGCAAAAGCAAATCAACTATAACAACGACATTTAAATATGTTATTTACATCTTGTTCCCAAGAGAACTCGAATAGTTTGTGAGTCGACATCAATGAAAACGAGATCATCTCTACCATCTTGATTTAGATCGGCTGATCGAAGTGATTGGAAACATTGATCGGTATTGTTTTTGCCAACATAAAACGGGATGTCGTTTTCATGAAATATACCAAGTTTTGTTCCTAGATATATTCTTATTATTTGGTTACAACTTAAGACAGCTAAATCATCGATTGAATCATTATTGAAATTAATCTTAGCAACAGATACTGGATAATGCGGACTATGATAGATCTGTTGAATAAACGTTCCATTTTCATACGCTAGTAAAACATGTAATGTGTCGGATTCCGGCGAAACAAGCGCCAAATCATCAAATTCATCATCATTAAATCGGCCTCGAATTATTGATTGAGGTTTTCCATAAATTCTGTTTTCAACATGTTGATACTTTTCCATCATAATACCAACATACTGTATGGCAGAAAAAGTCGATACGATACCATTGGAACTACATAAACTAATGTCATTTGCTTTCCCATCATTATTGAAGTCACCAATGACAATAGAGTCGATGGCGGAAATAAAGTAAGAATCTGTAGAACAATCTGAGTACGAACTTCCATTACCATTATTTAGTAATAGTGACCAGGTGTTGATATTGACGCCAGGAGGTATATGATGACGATTTCCAATCACGAAATCAGTCAATCCGTTACCATCCAGATCAATAGCTTCGATTGCACTGAGTGCATCATCAATATAGCCATTTTCAGTGACTGTGTGAGGCTTAATATCAAATAAACCGTTTGATCCATCACCGAAGAAAATAGCGATCTGTTTTTGCTCCGATAATACTACGGCTGAAACAAATAAAATGGTACTTTGACATTATTCATTCGAGCATAAAGATTTTTACCTATATCTAGAAATGTATCATTGTTGAAATCACCACTAGTTATTCCCAATGGATAAGATTCAACTCCTGTTGAATAGACTTTTTGTATTCGAAACTTTCCGTTTCCATTGCCCAATAAAACACTAATCGTATGATTCTCGTAATTCGTTACAGCTAAATCTAACAACGAATCTTTATTGAAATCACTAAGAATAAATGATCGTGCATCGTGACCAATTGAATAAGGTTCAGACTGAGATGTCAAAGTTAGGTAACAACTTTCTACAATACAGACACATTAGCTTACTTTTTTGCCTATGCTTCTCTGCTTACCAGTAGATGTTGTTGCTGATTCTTTTGTGGTCATGCTCATCATCAAAGTTGTTGATTCAGTTGTTAAAATATGTTCGGTACTTGTACTTTTAAACCAGTTGACTGGAACGATCACCATTCCAACAATAACTAACAAACATCCACATATCATAATTGCTCGCTTTATTCGCTTTTTTGATCTTCAAAAACGATAGATAAATTTACACACTACTATGAATTCAATGTTATATTGTTACTTACGGTTGGATTTGTTCTTGTATTGGATCTGTATTGATCTAGAATATCATCGAACAAATTAAGAAGTCAAGTAAAATAGAATGAAATTACTTCTACTGTTGTCACTGGTAGATTTGAAACAACTACTTCCGGATTATGATCATTTATATCAACCACTTCCACATCTGATTGTGGCATTACTCGATTTTTCTTTTTACAATCGAATATTCCCATTACTATCAATCCTATCAAAGATATTGCGGAATGTAATATTTTTGTCAAGCCACCAAATACTGCTAGTAGTGTAGTCACAAAATAAACTCCATTAAATTTAGATGAATAAGAAAACTGACAAAATTGAGGAGCACATGCGTTATAATACTGCTCAAACGATTTTTCTTCTTTCCATTCTTCAACAAAAAGTTGACCAAGAATGTTTTCAATCGTCTCATTTGGAGATGATAATGACGAGACATTTAATACTTGAAAAGGAACAGATTTCAAGTGATACGAAGCTGTTTGCATCAGATATAAACATGTTTTATTGTAGAAACAAGCGAAATTTGACTGCAAGAGAGCATTGAGAGACAAACAACCAGAACGAAATCCTGGAATAGTTTGTCTTAACGATTGATTCAATGTGCGATAAGGAAAACTATTGAGTGTCGAGCAATTCGATTGTAATGCACATGAACAATTATTATCTTTATATATTTTCGGTATGGTTAAGGTATTTAATGAAGGACTATCAGGGTCACTATTGAGAATGAACTGCCAATTGGATGATTGTGTTGTTGCTAATTGATTTGCATAGTTTACCACTTGAATTAAGTCAACTGCTTGTGAGAATTCATTCTGTGTTGTTATTTTGAATTCATTAATCAATGCTTCTATTTGTCTGTCAAATTCAGGCGGAGAAATCATATTTCCTGTAATGAGATTTCTCTGCCGCCACAAAGACAGTGATGCATTTAAGATATCTCGAGAGAGTATACACAACTGTGACACTGTCTTCAGTTGTGTCGTGACCCAACGACGAAAATCATCCTCATCAAAATTAAGTGCAGCATTATGTTTAAAACCATAGAAATCATCATGATCTTCTGGCCAACTAATATTATATTTCTTGGTTGTAATCAAAGCGCTTGAACAAACTGGATGATATTGAGGCTCTAGTCGACTAATGAATTTGTCATATGTCACTGCAATATGACTACAGGAACATTTCAGTGTCCGATGATATTGAGTAGATAGTTCTGAATATTTATACACGGATGGATTTTCGATAATAACAGGAACGGTTTCTTGCATTAACACGGTATAAACAGCGAGAATATAGAAGAACATAATCAGTAGAACCAGATAGATTCGTGTTAAATGGCGATTTCGACGAAGAGTCTTTGGATCTTGTGATGGTGACATCGCGTAGAAAAGATTGAATTCAGTCATCGTCTTTTTCATATACTTCATTACAGCATGAAATTCTAAAATTTGTAATAATAAATTTATCGAAAAATACAGAAAAGAGTAATGTCAAAACTAAGAAACGGAGTGAAATGATGTTGCAAGATAAATGACAAAATGCATATCTATTAGCTCTATAAGTATATCGAACATCGGATTGTCACTTTTGATACGAAATCTCAAAATTCTAATGGAAAACTCCTCACTGATTTCTTTACTTTGTCTCGTAGAAGTTGTTTGTGTGCTGTTATTTCGTTGTCGATTCATCACCTTATACCAAATTTTGAATAACACTTTAATGAGAAATGGTAACAATAACTGGAGAAGAATACTCAGACCTCCAGAAAGTCCAGCTATGGTCATGATAACATATATAAAACTAAATCCGCTTTTATAACTATATTGACAAGTTAACGGATGACATTGGTTAAAGTAAGATTCATATGAAACTTGATGATTAGTCCATGATTGAATAAAAAGTTCATCTACTGCCAGCCCGATTTTATTATACTGACTTACGTTATTGGATAACAATGATAAACGAAGTGTCGAAAAGTTTTTCGATGATACTGCCGCATTAATTAAATTCTTAATTTTCGAAAAACATGTTTCATTATAGAAGCATTCCAATGTTGATAGTAGAACAGATCGCAGAGGAAATACAGTTTGAATCATTCCTGGAAAAATATCAATGTACCTGTCATTGTCTATAATCGTTTCCAGGACACATTCATCCGAAGACAACTCCACACATTTGAGAAAGTGTGCTGGTGATCTAAACAGAACACGATAGTCATAAACACGCATCAGAGGCGTTAAACGGTAAAGTGATTCTGACTGAAGTTTAGCTTCAGAATTGAGTGGGACAATGAATTGATTGATTTCAGAATTTGCTGTCATTAATTGAATGGTACGTCGATATGATTCCGGTAATGTTCTTTTGAATTGATCGATAATTGAATCAACTCGTGTTTGGAATGATGATTGCTTAAGAACTCGATTAGTAATAAACTTTGTTTCATTGAATGATTGAAGACGATCATCAACTGTTTGTTGAGCAACATGACAAAGTGTCGATAAAAGTTGAAAATGCATTGGAGATTGATATTGAATATCATTGGTATATAATTCTCGAGTTGGAGATTTAAAATGCAGATCAATCCAACGACGAGAAATGAAGTGAGACGAACAGATTTCATGATATTGAGGTTTGAGATCAAAAATAAATTGATGATATTTTGATATTGTTTGATTACATGAACAGTTGAGTATCAACGGATATTGAGCATCAAGTGCAATAAAAGTTGATAATGATGGATTTCGAACAATCTTATTTACTTGATAAGAATCTATCGATATACAAAATGTAAGAATGATTAAACTTGCCAATAATATGATTATATACAATCGAGTTTGATAACGTTGTTGTCGAAGAATAGTTTCATCTTGTGAAGGTGGAACACTTTCGAACAAATTCAGATTAATGAGTGTTTGTTTGATGAACTGAAATAATCTTCTTATTTTCGTACATATCGACGATACTAAAATAATCATAAATAAATCTAAAATTGCTCAACATTCAATATCTTATCTGTTGTTATAAGGGAGGTATACAGGCTAACATTCTAGACATTTTATTTTTTCCATAATTCATGTTCTAAAACTTACCAGGTGTAGTTTCAACTGTAACAGGTGCTTGTTGTCGAACAATAAACTTGGCAATCCATGGCCATACATGTACAACGAGAATAGGTGATAAAAACCTTAATAACGATGTTAATCCACTAAATAAACTGGCTAATATGATTAAAATATTCCAGAAATTATAACTTTGCAGTACTGTATAGGAACATGAATCCGGTGCACAATTTTGAAAATATTTGGCAAACGATGTTGTATTGGACCAAATTTCGACGAACATTTTACTAAGTAATGTGTCAACTGTCCCATTTGGATTGGATGAATTCAGTTTTCGGAAAATTTTCGATGAATTAGCCAGCTTGTCGATCAATGTTTGATTATAGAATGCTTCGAGAGTCGAGTTCATCAATGCACTTAACATGTAACAACCTGTTTGAAAACCAGAAACAGTCTCATTCTCGAATATTGTCGGTCCCATACAATGTGTAGCAGTTGAACTGGAACAGATGCAGCTCGAGCCATCTGTAAATGTATACTCGATACTTTCATATGAATAAATACCACGACTGGACTCTATATAGGACTCTTTCACTGGTATAACACTAGTGACTGAGGCCCCAGTCATAAACAAACTGTGTGCTGTTGTGTTCTGCATAAATCGTAATGTTCGCATAAATGTATTTGGTATTTTATTAATAAAATCATCAATAAAAGAGTCAATCTGAACTTGAAACAAATTTTGTGGAACCAGTTCAGATCCAATGAAATCAGTATAATTGAATAACTGGAGACGATGATAGATTGTGTCTTTTGCTAATTGACAGAGTGAATGGAGTGTTTGAAATTGAAATGCACCTGTCCGACGAAAATCAGATCTATCTGATTTATTCCAGCTTTGATCATATAGAAGATGTAAATGTTTGATCCAATCATTAGAGACAAAATCACTTTGACACAATTCATGATAATGTACTTGAATCTGAACGAACTTTTCATATTTTACTGCTATATTTGAACAAAAACATTGCAATGCTGATTTTTCTGTCAAACTAGAATATTCTGCTAAAGTAGGAGATGAAACAACAATTGTTGTTGTATAAGATATAATATTGTAGATTAGTGTAAGGATTATCATTGATGAAATGAAAAGAACTAAGTAAAGACGAGTTGATCGACGTTCAATGTGTGTAACGGTTCCATCTGCACTGTTAGTATTGAATAGATTTAATTGACGGAGAAAAAGCTTGAGACGAGCAAAAGCAGCACGCAGATTGGCTCTGCTTGCCATTTTGTCTTCTGCAATAGATTCAAATATTAAGATTTCACATCCATCTAAAACGATGCTAAAGTTGGAGTCTAGACTAGGGTGAGGGTGGGTATGCATATCGACTAATTCAATACTCACACCACACCCTCGCGATGCTTTCTAAAAGTAATATGAAAGGGGGCCTTCAATGACCCCATGATTTCCTTGAACACTCATATCGGTTAGTCTAAAACTCTGATTCATTGATGGATTGGCCAATCAGATCTTGGCAGGCTATATGTATCTTATTTTCAGGATAAAAAATATTGTTAGTTAGGCCGATTATGGAGTTATGACGAGTTGTCTTTCAAATGGCTCAGCTAACAGTATGTTCTGTTTTGTGCATAGGAGACATGTAGCCAGCCAAAATCTGATTGGCTAATCTATCAACGAATCAGTTTTTTTTTCTTATTTTCAGGATAACCTATATGTGTTCAAGGAAATCATTGGTTTATACTCCCAGAAAGCATTGTGAGACTGTGAAGTTGGTATTGAATCAGTCAAGATGCTCACTCACATTCACCCTCAACTAAATTTCAACTTGTCGAGTCAAAGAAGGAAATACGAATGTTAGACACCAAAGCGTATATAAAAAGAAGAAAAATCATACAAAAGTGTATCATATCTCAACCTGAATTTAGAGAAAGAAAGAGATTATCTTTCCAGTTGAAAGTAGGCAGGGACGTATCTAGCTATTCAGCGAACCGGCGACCGCCACCCCCTCGAAAATAGATACGTCGACAAATACTGAAAACAGATAAAACACTATAGATTTCTCTCCTAAAAAATAATACTACTTTCCACTTTTTTTTTATAAATCGCCACCCCTCATGGAAATCCTGGATCCGCCCCTGAAAGTAGGGGACTAGGTGGACTAAAAAGTAAGTCTGTTAAGTCCTCTACTTCAAATCTGAAAACTAACCCTTTCATTCAACTGGAGGACTAAGGAGACTAAAGAGAATTAGGGGACTATGGGGACTTATGGGCTAAGAGTATTAAAGGGGCTATAGAGGTTAGAGAGACTGAGGAGACTAGAGGGACTAAATAAACTAGGGAAATTTAAGGGACTAGGGAGACTTGGAGAACTAGATCGACTTACGGGACTAGACAGACTTAGGGGGCAATGACAACCAGTGAAGGCTCATAATATTCAAAGGAATAAAATAACGACATTGATAAATACCAGGACTTTTCTCGAAAATCAGAACTTTCAAGAATTTATATACATTCTAATTTCTTCACGCAGGAAAAATCTTTTTCTCTTGTACTGAATCATTGTATCTTTGATAAAAATAATTGTTTTAACTCCGGTTATGAAGAGTAGATTTATATACACTGTCGATTATCATAAAACAGCAACGGAGTGATCTTAAAAGCTTCTTAGTCCCCCTAGTCTCGTTAGCTCCTGTAGGATTGGAAGGGTGACTTCATTTGATTCAAATCAGGTAGTCAACTGGTAGGACACGTAATGCTTCCTTGTCTGTTCATTGTGAAGAATATTGATTTTTTAGTTCCCCTAATTCTTGCTCTAAATATATTACGACGGTCGACTTTTTTCCAAAAGTCAATTTGAAATATAAAAGATCATATACTCAGAAAAATACAGGTAAAAGCGACAGCTTCAATGTATTCACATTAAAGAACTATTTAACACAGCCGAGTTTTTAAGATCGAAACTAATATAGAACTGCCCTAAAGCTAAATGTGAGAGTGGGGTCGCAGGCAAATAACTCATTCCTACGTTTATAATTGAACAGTGTTAAAAACGCGCTTGCGTCCTTATTCTTACTCATGCGTACAGTATTGACACTTTCACTGTCCTTCGTCTTCGCTAACATTCAATATCTATCTACAGCTACTGTTTGTCGCAGTGTTGACTTATATAAGAGTTTTATAAATTCCTAAATTGAATAAGCACGATAAATCTTCGTGTAACGTTCTGTTTTCACTTTGAATAATTACACTTATTGTGCTCATAACTATCGGTCACTCATACGTTTTTTTCTAATCATCTCATTTAAATTTGAGTTTTCTCACTATACAAATTTTAAAAATTGTTCTCATATAAATAGAAAAAACTATTAAAAAAAATGAAATATACGCTATTCACTGCATATGATAGAAAACCTGTAGTCACTTTATTATACAAAGGACGAGTGCTATGAAAAATATAACAAAACTATGACTTCTTCATTGTATTCTTCTGAATAAAATTATCTTTAAAAAGGATTTTCTAAACTGATTCAACAGAAACCATCTGTGCATGAAAAAAAAGTCAGGCTACAAAATCAGTGCCATGATTTTTCTTCAGGAAGCTTAGTTATTTTTTCTTCAAATAGAAATGGTAACTGAGCGTTTTATTTTGTCAGTTTATACCTAAAAAAATGTTCTGTTTTTTTTGTACGATCTGCAGATCAAATAACCAACCGCTAGAGGTGTAAGCCGTCGGCTTGAACGCGCGTCGGCTCTAGCAAAAACGTCAGCTTCTAGCCGTCGACTTCAGCAAGAATCGACTGACAGCTAACACCTCTATCAGCAACTACGGTTTTTTATGAAAGTTACTTATTCAATAGAGTTTTTTTCTTTTTTTATATTTTAAAAATTGACAAAATTGATTTGTATTGAGTAATTGGGTTCGGGAATCTTCAGAAGAATCATAGTGTTTACATTGACATTATCCGAAAATCCAACAAAATTCTGGGAAAAGAATCAACACTTTTCCAGTGAAAAAAATTTGTTGAATGAAACGCTCAAAAACGCATCTGACAAAAAGAGGCGTTCTAGAAAATCTGGAACACGCTGAGGGTGTGAGTGTGGTGTGAATACTCTTTCTTTATCTTCATTCACTCACATCCTCACCCACACCCATACCCAAACCCTCACCCACACCCGTACCCAAACCCTCACCCACACCCACACCTACACCCACACTCACACCCACACTCACACCCACACCCACACTCACACCCACACCCACACTCACACCCACACCCACCCACAACCACATCCACACCCATACCCTCACCCACAACCACACCCACACCCACCCACACTCACACCCTCAAGAGAATGATCAAATAAAGAAGGTCCAATTAAAACAATGATTGTATTTAAGTTCATAGATTGCTCAAGTGATCGTATCATACAAAATCTATGTCTACATATATTTTATACATAACTACATTATGAACACGATCTTCTATTACAAATCATACAAAACCTTTTATATTCAGAAGTGTTAATATTATCTCTGAATTATCATATTCTCATTCATCCCTTTGGTACAGATTTTATTTTATTTTATTTAGAGAATTTTGTTTTTTGTTCTGATCGAATATTCTTGAAAAAAAAGTATAGTTGAAACTTCGATTTTCTAATGGTAATAAGTTGAAATTGTCTATTTAATTCAGCATTCTAGTGAAACTGAATAACATCTGTTGTAAAAATATTAATATGTTATACAATTTGCAAATGATCTATCAAAACAATGTAGAATCTTTTTAAATAATGATAATCCTAGTAACTTAATTATTCCATGTTTATGTAGTTGTAGTCAAGCATATTTTTATAGGAAATATTTAAATGATTGGTGATCAAAAAATGGAAATAGGAATGATTTTAAATATTGTGATATATGTCAATTCAATTACATAATCGAAACTGTTATAAATCAATGAAAAGCTGATGGAAACCTACTATGAAAGTAACTGAAAAATCTGGATATGCGTGGCGACACAGGTGTACATCCGAAATACTTTTATATCTTCATCTCACACCCACATCCTTAATAAACCATCTTGAGAGTGTGGATGTTAATATAAAAACAATCATTGATCAAGCCCTTATTATTATACACTCTCAATTAGACAGCGTCACTAGTTTGTATTCTATAGAAACATATATGGTATTGAAAGCTTTTATTGGAATGTTGTGTTGTGGAGATTGACAAAAAATGTGTAAAAATCAGAAAAAGAATCTAAAAAGATTGTGTGTACAAGTTGAATGATAGATCAGATTATCAATTATATTTTTAATGAACTTTATTCGTTGTTAATGAAAAATTACTTTAAAAAGTGACAAAAAAAAGAATTATTTATCAAAAGTCATTCTATCATCAAAAACTTGTTTCAGTCAAGATCAATAGTAAATTTTTGTATTCGATGGTTTTTTATATCGATAACATAAAGATTACCGTGTCGATCAAATGATATATCACCTGCATCTATGAGATATGTAGATCCCTCTCCAGGTAGTTCTTCACCAACGACAGGAGTACCTTCTATTGCACCTGGCGACCAACGCATTATTTGATGAATCGTAAATGACGACACATAAATATTACCTATATGATCAACAACCACACCTATGGGTTGAGACATTGAACTGGGATTTTTATCCGAAACTTGTCCTGGAGCAACAAGAATACCTTCGATCGCATTCTCCTTCCATTTCATCACACGATTATTCCCATTATCCACTACGTAAACTGTATGATATTTATCGACGAAAATAAAACTAGGTCCATTGAGTTGATTCAATTGATTTCCTTCTCCATTTCCGCCGGCGACAACTTTACCTATTTTATCTCCTTCTTGAAAACGTCTCACTTCAAAGTTGTCTCCGTCAGTAACATAAAGATCTCCATTATCATCCATTGTTAAACCCCAGCAATAAATATCGGATATCCATATTTGGTAATCGTGAGTATTATGACGAGACCATCTAATCACTCGTTTGCGGATTTGTTCACAAATGAAGAGATACTTCTTCTCTTTATCAAGAATTACATCTGTTACAAGACCTAATTGCCCTAATCCATTTCCACCTGCAACGATTTCACCCTCCTTTGCACCAAATTCCCATCTAACAATACGAGCATTGAAACCGTCAGCAATATAAATACTTTCATCATCGTCATCAATATAAAAACCAGCAGGATAACCTAATTGATTTAATGCACTTCCCCATCCATTTCCTCCAGCAACAGTAGATGCATTCTGGTACCATTTTGTCTTGTTATCAATGATAACAGAAGAAAGCATTTGTCCTATAAAACATTTTAATTTCTTTTCTTTTTCTTGTACATCTAAAAACTATTTCTTAAAAATAAAACATATTTTGTTTTATTCAACATCATGTTTCGATATCACTGTATATAAATTACGTGAATGTGTTTGTGGGTGTAGATGTATGAATTATAAATTCGATATTACCTTCTCATTCATCTTTCAGTGAACCTTTCAATATTATTCTACAAAAATATGATCTATGACTATCAATTATTGAATATAAAACTATTTTATGTTATCATTCGAATAAAAAGATTTAAGATTGAATTATAAAAATTAGTTTTAACAATAATTTCTTTTTTATAAATTCTTTTAGATAAGAAACAAACTAGTTTTAATAAAATCATACCACTCTCTGTTGTCATTGTTGTTGTTATCTCGGCTGTTGTTGTAAATGTTGTTATTGCTGTTGTTATCTCTGTTGTAGTTGTTGATGGTTTTTTTTCTTTATTTTTATTTCCTGTAACAATAGTTGTTGGAATAACTATAATTACAACAATTAAAATAATGGACGATATTATCCACATTAATTTTCTCTTTCGAAAATGTTCACATCTTAAATAAGAAATTCTTCTGATGATTTATTTCAATTCATAATATTTACATACAATCTTTGTAGTCGTGTTGTATTAGAATTAGCTTCAACAAACTAAAATATTCAAAAAGAAAAAGAGATTATTTTTTTTATCTATTTAATACATTACTTCTTCAACTCCAACTCTGTTATCCATGTTCATAATTGTTCTTGCCACTAAAATTGAATACTTTTACAATCTGAAATCGAGAAAAAAAATGGTTTTTTTTTTCAAAGATCATTGATAAATATTGATATAACTATAGAAAACATAAACTATCTCCCAATGAATATTGTTTTTGTATATACGAGATATAATATATTTCATGAATGAATCGATTTAAATCAAAACAAAACAATGTTAAAATAAAGTTTTGATTTCTTTTTATGTCAATTAAAATGATATATATTTCTCTACTTGTTATCTCAATTAAATAGAAACTACCGTGCATGACTTAAATAATCAGTTGAGCATATTATGATATTTGCAACAACAACAACAAAAAATGTTATATCAATAGAAATATTAATCATATATCCTTTTTTTCAAAGTCAGTTTTGAATAAAATATTAGCAGATGTAAGTTGTTTTTTTATATTAATGTGAAAAGTGTTTTGAATAAAATACAGAAGTAAATTGTTTATTATGATTATTTAGACAAATAAAAAAGAGGAAGTGAGAGAAGAATGAAAAAGAATAGAATATTTATTGTTAGAAAAATGTTGTATTCAACACGTCTAACATGATTTAGTTCTTTTGGAAAACTTTTCCAGATGTTCATTTTCAAGACCATCTAACTACTGAAAAAAGTATATTTAATGACGTCGTTGTAATGTTTGGCCAATTATTTATCATGCTCTTCTTTATAGTGCCACAACATAAATGATTTTTTTGATCAATAGAATAATGACTAAAATGACTTTTTTTTATACTTTTGCATATTTATAGGTGGTATATATGAGATATGACTCATATCTCATATCATATGAGATATGAGAGAGAAATTTGGTAGTTTTTCCCCGTATTATTATCACTCTATTCCTTTGTGTCTAAAGCGATCGATATTCTGAAATAGTTAACATGTCATTTGAAAAGAGGTGTTGGTAAGGGTCTCATTCGGTTCTTCACCGTTGCTCACATTCCGCCCTCAACATATTAGAGATGATGAGAAAAAATAGACGAACAAGTGCATACATGTGAAAGAGAAATATGATTTGATGTTATTATCACATACTGTAATAAATAACTTTTATTAAAATTTTCTTCTTATTATATCTGTTTAAGAATGATGAAATATCACACAAACTTAGAACATCATTTTTACTATTATTAAATATAAAAAGAATATTTTTTTTATCTTCTTTTCTGTCTTCTACACAATTTAAGTTCTTAAATAAAAACGTCAAATTATTGTTACTCAATTCAAATTGAATAATTCGATCGTTTGTCTATATGATCCAAATGAAAAAAATATTTGATTTGATAAAAGAATTTCTTCTTCGTATATAAAAATACTGAAACGATGTATTCATGCAAATGTTACTCGTCGTATTTCGTAATTTGGTTTTTTGTTACTAGGCGTGTTTCACGAGAAGACTATCTTGACAATGACTGAATAAATCGAGCTTGCTTTTAGTTCTTAAGGGTTTCTTAACAAGCTGATTCTTTTTGTCTCGAAAGTTTTCTCTAAATACTTTCTAACTATGGTTTCCAGAAAACCATGGTTTTTCAGCAGATCCTAATGAAAAAAATGATTTTTTGTAAAATACTGAGCGTTCAATAAATAATTCAATATGATATTCGGATTAAGCCTGAAAAGACGAATATTTTGAAAAAAAACAATTAGCTTCCTAGTGCTAAGTCTAGGTTTGCAAAATTTGCAAACCTCATTTGTTTTTACTTTGGAATAACTCAAGATAGAAATGTGATATAGAGCTGATTCAAATGCTAGTCAATAGAGAATTTAAAACTGAACAAACGGTCGGGTTTGGCAATATTCATATATTAGGCTGTCATGGATTTCCAGGAGGTTTCTAGAAAACCACATATCTGTTTTTGCTTATACTTCCGATTTTAAGCTTTAATATGTTTAATTGGATTATTTATAGTTTCTATAATGAAGATACGAGCTAAATATCATAGGTGAACGTCCGCGTTAGTGCTAAGATGCATCTGGATGCAAATAAGCCTATTGAGCTTATATGCTATAGGGTCACGACGAAATATCTCTTCTTTTTCTCAAACAGATAGCGTTTCCCCCAATGCTTTAAAATTTAGACGTCGACAAGCTATAGGCATCGTCTGTGTATGTAAAAAGAAAAAGAATTTTACCATGTGTCTATAAGATTCGATGAAAATGAGATTTCTTAAGATTATTAATATTACAAAAAAATGAATATTTATAAATCGATATGATTAACAAAGGAAGAAAAAAACCAAAAATATTAAAATTGAATATGATAATCTTAAGAGAATAAGTTATGTGATATGTTCTGGTTAAATAATTCGATGTGGATGTGGTTATTCACTTGTTTTCGCATCTACCCACACCCACAAGATTTCAGAAAGGGATGCATTTACAAATATCTATTGGTGTCATAATTTTATTAAAACCTGATTTAGTGACTGATATACTAGCACAAGATGTTGATGAATTCACACTTGTATTGGTGTTGGTGTTGATCTGTCATCTTGTTGTGAGATTCGTTGCAGTTTACATGATACGACATTTTCTATCAAGGTATTCATATTTCCATAGATTTGAGGGTGAGGGTGGGTGTAGCGTAAATAAAAAACAGATGCATCTTCATCCATCCGCATCCACACCCAAATCCTCAAGATAGATGAAAAATACGTTTACTGGAGAAAAAAGTCCACTCAAATTTTTTTCTGTTTCCGGATCTTGAAGAATGTTCTTAATATGTGACAAAGTTTATCCTTACTTCGTTACAATAAACATATGTCTTGAACTAATTAACGTTTCCATTAGACTTAAGGCTGATCAGTTGATGAAACTTCATTGAACAACATATAAAATGAAACTAATCTCTAAGTTTTCTATTTGTTTCGTGATAAATACATTTAATAATATCAGCAATATTATGTCAGACGTTTGTTTTGTATCTAATAATATTAATTCTAAATGATTAATTGGAGAAAATATTCAACATCAATATACATCATCTCAATTTAAATCTGATATAATTATCATTCATTGATTTTCCTACTCAAGAAAAAAGATCTTTTACATGTTCATATTTTGTACAAGAGTGTGAGCATTGATCTTTGAATGATCCATACCCACATCCAGTCAGGACTTTAGGCGATACTACCTGTTGTTAGTCAATGTCTTTCTCTCAGGTGACTTCATTCGATGCGCAAATCTGCTGCTAACATTACTTACGATTTATGGATCTATTTTCAAGAATCAAACTCTCAAATCACATGAATAAGTGTTATTTTATTTTTGAGTCATTTCTTCAACTATTCTGATAACACAATTTTCTTAATAAATTCGACTTTGAATTGTTAATATGGATGAAAAAGTAAAAGTCACACATTCAAATTCTTTTTCTCTTCATGAAATTGGAAAATTTTTCACAAACAACTTTGCTGATTCGAAACTATAAGAAATAATTTGATTTTTTTATGGGGAAAAAGAAAATTGAATTAAATTTCATAAAGAAATTCTCAAATACTTATTTCTATTCCTTTGAAAAGTAAAAAACATCTTTTTGCAAGTTTCATTGAAAGAAATCGGATAAAAATATTTTGTTTTTATTTCATCAGAAATCTTTGTAAATTAAAATCAAAGTTGAATTATATATTATTTCAATCTCTTGTTCATTTTTTTTTTCGTATTTCTTTTTTCTGTTTTCAAATTTTTATTCTCAATTTTTCATAAAGTATTTCTTTTTTTTCCAATTTTAATCGATTTTTTCATTGATTTTCAATAATAAAACTTTATTTTTCCTTTTATTTCTTGATTATTTATTCTTTAAAATTTTCTTTTTAAAATCAAAACTTCATTCACAAAATTATTTCAAATTTTTGAATTCGATGATTCCATTCATCAGCGACATAAAGATTTCCTTCATCATCAAAAGATAAATCACAAGGACTAAACATTTGATTTGATTGATGTCCTTGTCCATTTCCACCAACAACAGTTTCACCTTCTTCTTTCCCTTCACGCCAACGCATTACTCGATCATTCCCGCTATATGCCACATAGATTTGATCCAAATCATCAACAATTACTCCTTGAGGATAAAACAATTGATTGACATTTCCTCCATCCACAATTACTCCTGTTTTTGCATCTTTTCTCCATTTCATCACACGATCATTGATATGGTCTGATACATACACAGATTGTTCTTCATCAACAAAGATAAAAGTAGGATTATTAAGTTGATTGAGTTGATCTCCTTGCCCATTTCCACCAGCCACTACAATTCCTTCATTGTTATATTCTCCCATTTTCCATCTTCTCACTTCATTCTTCTCCCAATCAGAAACATAAAGAAATCCATGTTTATCCATTGTCAAACCATAACAGACAATATTGTGAATGAGAATCTGTTGAGTTTGATTCAACCATTGAATCACTCTTGTGTTCCCTTGATCAGCAATAATGATCGAATAATCTTGTTGATCAACAATCACATCTGTTGGCTCATTCAATTGATCCATTTGATGTCCTTGCCCATTTCCTCCTACAATGATTTGTCCTTCTTTTGCATTATATTTCCATTGAACAATACGGTGATTTAAACGATCAGCAATGAAAATATTTTTATTTTTATCAATAGAGATTCCAACAGGAGCATAGAGTTGATTTAATTGTTGTCCTTCTCCATTTCCACCAGCCACAGTGCTGGCATTTTGTTTCCATTTGTTGAATTTCGGTTCTAGAAAATAATGAAAACAAAAGGTTTTGATGAAAAGAAGAAAATTGTCTTTTTCCACGAAAAAAAAGAAAAGATTAGTTTTCAATGAAACTTTGAATTTGTTTTTTTATTGAAGTTGAATTGTAAATGAAATCAGTGGCGAAGCCGAGAGGGGCGGAGAGCGCTTAGCCTCCTCCCCTAGCAAGATTTTGAAAAATATGTTTTTCTGATACAAAATTTTATTATTCTTTGTAATGGAATATTCTATGAGACATACCTTATTGTGTGGAAATCATATGTACTTTTTAAACAAATAAAAACACATTTAATGTGAGCTTCATCTAGATTCTAAAGATTTCTCAGTTTTATATGTTACTCATTCGATAACGTAAGGTGCGAACAACACAAAATTAAAGCAAAAGTTTTTTTTACTCTTGGATCCCTGCATTTTACAAGCATATTTTCAGTAAGGAATATCAAAAAAGGGTCAGATCGATGCAGTTTTTCACGATAAATCTAAATATATTATTTTCATAGCCCGAAGAAACGTAAAAGCTCTCTAAAATTGAAAAAAAACATTAAAAGATGAGTTTTTTTAATATTTTTTTCAAGAAAATGAATCTTTCAGCACTTTGGAAAAAATATAAAAACTGACCAATGCTTACTCAACTGGACGAGCTCCATCCAACCAAGTGTGAAAAAGTGAAAAAAAATTATACTTCCTGAGATGGACTAAAACGGTTCCGGCGGCTGAACCCTCCCCCCTCTCCTAGCTCAAAACTCTAGCTTCGCCACTGGAATGGTTATGACTGTGCATGAGAAAATATAATGCTCACCTCATTCTCATGAAAAAATCAATATTTATGAAAGATGTGTTTCTCAAGTATTAAGTTAGTATTTTATCCAACTACAATTTCTTTTGAACACGTCAATTCTATATAAATGCTATCTAAAACATAAGATTAGGTGTTCATATCAACTAGTACTTCTACGTGTATAATCATACCGATAAATCAGATTAAAACTTACTGTTTCAGTTATAAAAGAGGATTTTTCTTAGATTCACTTCTGTTCTTAATCAAGCAACTATGATCAGCTAGAAATGTTGAATATACGAGTTTGTCTAAATTATAATGTGTGTAATTGATAGAGACGATACTTGTAATAGACTCGTACTGACAGTGTACTACGAGAAATAGTGATAGCTACAAATAGCAATGGACATAAGTCTTCAAAAATGACTCAATAAATATTACATTTCTTACTTAATCTGGTTGATGCATGAAAGTATTCATGGATATTTCCAATTATCTTCTATGCAACATTCACAAGCAATGACGTTATCTGACTTTATTTAGTCATAGTATCTATAATTATCAATCTTTTCCGCTGTAACGAGCAGTTACTAAAGCGGTCACTGAGTTCGACTATGTATGAATCTTTTTATCGACAACATGTTCGTATAATAGCATCACAATCGACTAGCATATTCAATACTCGACTAAGCACAAATGGAATCACGTCATCAAAAATTGAACTTGTTTGCAGCTCTTATACAAAGTTTTCTGATTTTCTAGATCTAGATGAGAAACACTGAACAGCTAAAATCAAAACTTTTAGATTTGGTCATTTATGATACTCATCGCTTAGGCTATTACAAGTCATCCAGCATATTACTAACTTGATGGTGTTGTTGATGTTGTTGTTGAAGTTGATGTGGTAGGTGATTCTAGATTACAAAAATGAGTTTAGAAAGAGACGAAATGATTGGATAAGGCTTTATTCCTAATTTCTTTCGTCCTCCTCTTCTTCTTCTCTAACAATCTATCGACCGTAACTATTAGTGCAGTATAATAACATCGGAAACCTTTAGGTGCCCTACGTTATAATTGCAATTTTATGATTTTTACTTTAAGCACATCTCTACTATAATAATTTTGACAACTCATTTTACATTTTTTATAAGTTTAATAATGAAACATTTCCAGAATTGTAGAAAATAACTCATATAACATTTGTATACTCCTACTGTTCTTGAATTATTTCATTTTCATTCAAGATGACATCATTGGATCGTAATCAGAGCTGCTAAAATAGCTTTATTTCTTATTTATTGTCTAAGATCTTGGACAATGCGCTGTAAATTTATATACAGCATCGATCAAATACTTTTAGAAACACGTCAATGCCAATTTTATTTCATCGAATAATTCTCTGTATTTGTTTTTGTTACTTTTGCAATATTTGTCAGTAGTGATTCTTTAGTTTGAATACGGCCATTTCAAGTCCCACAGAGATTTCATTTACTAGGATATTTTCAAAGTAGAATTCGAAAAATAAGCCTCGAAACAAACAGTTCGGCTCAAAAAGGTTTGCTTTCGGGCGATGGCTTTAGTGAGATGTTTTGTTCTTTAATTTAATTTATTAGGAAACTCGATATCTCTCAGAAATAATTAAAATTACTAAATAAGGCTTATGACGAGAAAACTTTCTAGATTTTCATTTCAGTAAGACAAGGAATGTTCTGTAGACTATATAAATTCCGATAGTTTGTGTGAGGATGTGATAGACAGAAAACAAATCTATCAATCACAAACAAATATCGAAAATTCCGCTCATGTCATGTTTATTCGTGTAGGAAGCAGTAGTACAATCGAGCTGAAAATCTCAGCTAATACTAACGTTACTACTATCTATAACATACAAAAAATATTAAGCGAAACCTGAGATGTCGAATCATCATTGATATTTGATTTTCTTAGAGACTTATTCTTAATAAATATTCTTCCACATGCTAAAAATTCCATTATGAATGTTAGAACAATTTTTGATATTGTTGCTTAGAAGTATCATGTATAAGTTGTTATGATTGGGGATGTACCGAGCCCTGATCATGATCCAGCCCCGAGCTCCGAGCCTGACCAAGCCCGAGCCTCTCGGGCTCGGTACATCTCTAGTTATGATAAACAATGAAGTTCTACTTCGGTCATTTGGAACAATTTATCGTATATTAACTTCAAAATAAATAATTATCTCATTTTAACTACCTGTTGTTACTTCTATTTTTTCTGTTATTTGAATTGTTGTTTCTTCTATTGTTGATGTTTGTTCACTGTTTGTCTTTTTTGTTTTGACGATAACAATTGAAATTGTTATGATTATAGCAAGTACAATAATAATAAATGTGATGCACATCACTTTTCTCCTTTTCAGATATTCACATCTAGAATAATAAATCTTTTTTATTATTATTTATAATTCATAACATACATACAATTTTTTTGGTTGAGCTGCATTCGACGTAACTGTTTCAGACTAAAATAATCAAAAAAACAACAAATATTATATTGTATGATTTTTCTTTTTCTCAATCAATTACATCATTATCAACTCCTATTCTGTTGTTGTTGATCATTGTTGATATCTTGCTCAAAGTTTAATACTTTTACAATCTAAAATCGACAAAACAAATTTTCAGTCATTAATAGTATAATTACAAAGAGGCTAACTGTTTATCTGAATATTTTTGTCACAAAAAAATCATTTGTTTTTCTTGTTAATTGTTGAAATCTATATTTCAAATAATATCTAATATTCCTCACTGGCTAATCTTAGAAGTTTTTCATTCTAATTTCAACTAGAAAATTGTTAAAATAATAGAAAAAAATTATCATGCTCTCTCTTTCTCAAATAATCAGTTCTCTTGTGACGCAGATTTTCATGTTAATGTAAAACATCATATATCAATAAAAACAATCAGCTCACTTCCTTTTTCAATGTCAGTTTTCAAAACAAAACAACTCTTGTCAGAGAGAGTTGTTATCTCTGATAAATATGAAACTGTTTGTGACAACATTTAGTGTAATTATTAGTTAATAAAACATTAAAAATCAGTGCTGTTCAAAGGATATACAACATTTCCTAACAGAGAAAAAAAACTGACGTTAAAATAATTTACTATACACAAAGATTCGGCTAAAACAACTGATAATTAGACAACATTTATGATTATAAATCTCTTTAATTTGATTTTATGGCTTCTTGCAACAATTATTTCACAAAATATATAAATGATTATGATATTCACTGATTTAATCGAAGATCGAAATAGAACATTTAAGAAAACAAAAACGATTAATACTTGATTTTTATTTGATTATTGTCTACTAGTTATGTTCTTTTAATCATTTTCCTCACTGCCGAAACAAAATTTCAGCTTTGTTTTTTAATTTGTAATTGAACATGTATGTAGAGAAAATGAACATAAAAGAAACAGCAATTATATCAATACTGAATTATTTTATCGACGCAATATCTTTTCAACAATATTGTAATATCTAACAACATAGGGACAGCTTTACTCTGTAGACATCCACATCAATGAAAAATAATAAAATATTTTGTTCAAATACATTTTTTTCTCTCTCAGGAAACGTCGCAGTTCCTTCAAAAAGTGCTGATTTTTAATGTTTTTCTTTCTATAGAAATAATCATATTAACTATATTGTTTGAATTAATTTAATTTCGCATGCTACCTCGTAGATTTCGCCATTTACAATTAATAACATTTTATCCAAAATTGCTCTGAAACAATAAAATGATCTTATTGTTTTCATTGACATATGATGTTTTTTTTACAAATATTTTATATAAAAACGATTATATACAGTAAGTATGAAAATCATTCACTCATTATTATTATTTTTATTTTAAATGAAACAAATACATAAAAAAAAATGAAAAATATCATTTGAGAATCCATTTTTGATACTTAATAATTTAAGTAATGTCGAATATAGTAGATGATTCTATTAAATATAATTACAAAACTATGAAATAAATAAGAACGAGAAGAATTTCATTTAATTTCTAATGATTAATATTGAATAAAAACAATTTGTTTCTTTTTAGTTACATTTTCCAATAATTAACTTGAATGATAAAAAAAACTCTTCTCGATATTTTGCTGAAAACTGAACATGAACTTTATTTTTTTTCTCTATTCGCCTACATAATGACGTCAATGGGAATTTGCTTTTTTTTTGAAATATTTGCAACAAATACAACATGTGAAATTATTAATAGATAAAAACAATGAATCTATTTCCTTTGGCAAAATTAACATGAAATGTCAGTTATTATTTGCTGTAAATATAAAAAAATGTTCATGATATTGAAATGTTTGTAGGAAGGATGTGAAAACAAAGTGTTTCAAACAAAATTTAATGTTATCCTTGTTAAGAATACATTACAACTCATGCCTTAACAAAGGAAATGCAAACGCTTCCTCAACAATAAAATATTTTTTTATTTTGCATTTCGTTGAAAGATATTATATGCTGTCAGAAATGTGTTGTATAATTGATTTTATTCTTATTTCATCCATTAGATAAATGATAAGAAAAGTGTAGTTGTTCATCTTCAGAATAAATTTTCATCAAATATTATTCAACAATATGAATATCATCAAATCTATGAGAAACGAATACATAAACAAATAAATTAGAATTGTACAGAATAATGTCACATTTAACAAAATCAACTAAACTTATTATTTTATTATCCTTTGAAATTATTCATCATTTATCCCTCAAAAAATCACTTTTGTGCAAATTTTTTTGCAAATCTTTGTGTATGTGCACATGTAAGTTATATGTATGCGTGTATTTTTTTAACTTCATGCTTGATTAGGATTACTTTTTATCTATCCTTATGTCACTCACCTTTTATTACTTTCTTTGTTTGTCTTAACTATTTCCACATGATTCATCGTGCGTCACTTCCCTAGTGATTGCACACTAGTTAGCAACAGGTTAAAACCAGTTTTATATCTTGCCATGTATTGATATATTCCTAAATATATTCATTAGGACTTTACCATATACATCACATATATGTATATTCCTTTCGTTCTTGGATTTTTCTTATACATACTTGTATAAATATACTTGCATTTCTCTCTATATGTATGTATCTACATCTTCTTTTACTGCAATTTATTTATTTCGTTCTTGGTTTGCGTTAAAGGTAAGGATGAAAGCACAATATTATTCGTCTGCGAATAATATTCTTGTTTGATAGTCTTTATAATTTGGTACACTTTTCCTAATTTATTTTATATGCGTAGGTGATCACCAAGTCAAATAGCGAACAACATGACTGCTATTGTTGAAATAAGCAAAGATGATAATACATATGTCCGTCCACAATTGGAGCTGATCGACTCAACACTACCATATTTTCGTAAAGCCATTGGTGTACTCGACATTTCTTCTTCATCTACTCCTTTCTTCATTGTTAATTATGGTTCGATTCATGGATCCAATTCGATATATGCCATGAAGATGATCATTCAATATTTGAAAGAAGCTAAAAAGATAGATAATGAAGAACAAATCATTGCTGTTCACAATGGTTTACCAACAAATAACTGGACATCCTTATTTGAACTTACCAGTGAAGAAAATTCATATTCCAATGCGGCTTATGGTCAATATTTTGATGAACAATGCTTGCCACCAAATACTATTGCAGTTGGGTTTTCAATTGCTTCACTTCACTGGCTATCACGTAAACCGTGTAACGTGTCGCATCATTGTGTTGGTACTTTTGTACAAGATAGAGAAGAACGTGAGATATTCAAACATCAGTCAAAACTTGATTTGGCTTCATTTCTCAAACATCGTTCTACTGAACTTGTACCTGGTGGTGTTCTCATTCTGAATATTCCATGTGTCAACGATGAAGATTCTTTGGGGTTTGATAACTATGTTCATTTACTATACAAATGTGCTAAATCTGTTACACACATCCAACAAGTATTGCTTGATCATATGATTCCTTCATATTATCGATCGTTCTCGGAATGTGTCGATAATGAGCTTTTTGCTAGATGTTCCTTCAAACTAATTAAAGTTAAATCTAGCAAGACAAACATTGCTCTTATGGATCAAGACCAAAATGGAAATGTATCAGTAGATGAATTTTCCAAAGCAGTCACATCGTTCATGCGAAGTTGGTCGGAATCATCACTTAAACAAGCATTAGAAATTAACAAACAAAGCACAGAAGAAACTAATCAAATACTGCATCAATTTTGGACATTGTACGAGCAAGAGATAAGAGCAAATCCACATGAATATATTGCTTGTGCTTATTTTACTCATTTAATCTTGAAAAAAGTTTGACGTACAACAAACGCTTACTATTTTTATTTAATCTAGAAAATTTTTTAATCTATGACAAACGCTTTTTTCAATACACAATAAAACTATCTGATTGAATTGAACATTCTTATAGACTTTTTTTTTTGACGATGAATTGAGGGTGTTGCTGTGAGTATGGATACTGTATTCACCTAACACCC